CGGTTGTTAGGGTTGTTCTGGGTGGTTACCCATTGGCCCAAATCAAAACAGTTCACCTTTACATTTCTATGGTATTCTGGTTCTGGTCTCTAGAAATAAAAAAAACCCTAAGTATAATAATAATAATAATAATTATTGAATTTATTAATTTGTAAGCAAGTTCTATAACTTATAACAAATAAATAAACAAACAAACAAATAAAAAAAATAGCAATGATATGGTGAATGAAGTAAATTCAAATTTTTTTAAAATTAATTTTCAAACCTTTATTGAGAAGGAATTCTAGAAAACTTTTGACAAGTGAAATAAATCAACAAACAAATAAATAAAAAAACTGATATGGTGAATTAAGTAAATTATAATACTTTTTTAATTAAATACATTTTTGTACCTTTATTAAGAGTGAATTCTATAACACAAATTTGACAACTAAAACAAACAAAGAAACAATTACATAAATATGGCGAATTAAGTCAATTCTTGAACTTCTTAATCAAATTAAATTTAGCACCTTTTTGAGAATGTATTCTAGAACTTTAGGGACAGGGACAACTTTTAGGGACAACAATTAGGGACAAACTTTTACGTATGCATGTATTTATTTATTTAAAATTAATTCTACAACCTTTATTTAGTGAGTGAATTCTAGAACCATTTTGTCCATTGTGCTGCCTCCACTTGCCTGGCCATTCATTCAGCTGTTTAGTATTTCTGGATTTGTGATTTCTCTCTTGCTCTTCGTTGATCACCTCATCTCTCTCTTCCTCCCTCTGTCTTTCAGCTCTGATTTTAATGCTCTTTCAATCAGTGTGTCCATTAAGCGCAGAGCTCATCAGTGCACGTTTACTCACGCATGCAGATGAGCTCCTATTGCAGTGTATTGCAAACGCCTCAGAGTCCTCCTTGTGTGTGTGTGTGTGTGTGATCTCCTCAGTGATGGGAGTTTATAATGGCTCTCAGAGGAGGGGTAGATGTAATGAGAGTGAAGGAGGACGCTTCTGTGCTGCGCGAGCATCTCCGCTGGGGTCCAGACCTGCGTTTCAGTTCTTAATGAACATTCACTAGCCTTCCCACTCCCTCACTAAACGCATATACATTTTCAACTCTGACTCCTCTGCTATTGAGTTAATTTGACCTCCTTCCATCTATAATTGTTGGTGGGTTTGCTAAATAGACATTATATTTCTATTGATCCTACTAGGGTTACGTCTTTGAACATAACCATACCCTTATGTATTAAACTTCAACATGTCACTTGTAAGCTTGTTATGGAAAACAGTAAAAACTGATTTACGATTTTCTCTTAGTGATTGATTAAAAAAACAACAACTAATAACTGCATTGACAGAGAGACCTGGGCCATATCTAGACACTAGAATAATGACAAAATTGACCACAAATGTGAAATATGACAGAACAGATTGTGTGGACGATGTAAATACAGCTGTTTTCAAAGCAAATGTTTAATTCTTACATTAGTCTACAGGTTGTTTTTTACTTATAACTTCCCCTAGAATCAGAAATTGATGAAATTTGGCATGTCTCCTCACATGGCCTTGGCATCTATGTGTACCAAGTTTTGTGATCTTTGGATTTTGCGTGAACAGGATACAGGCCAATGTATTCATTATGTGCAATGCCTGAAAATGTTATTGGCTTAAATCTGTGATTTAACAAATTAAAATTCTTTTGACAACTTTTTGTCAAGGTTGTCTCTAGATGATACACGCCAGTTTAATGCAAGTCAGATGAACAGCTGGGAAAGACTTCAACAATTGAGCCCATATGGTTCCTGAGAAAAAACATAAATATATAACTTTTCACAGAGCTGCCCTGTTGGCAACTCCCAAAAATGGTACACAACCTCTTCTGGACACTTTTAGGATACAAAACAATAATAAAAACAAAAAGAATAATAATAATACGAAAGCCAGCGAAAGGGTTCCATGAGCCAAGAGCAGGGGTTGTGAAAGCTGCCAGCAGTGTGTGATAACAAACACCTGAATCTTATTCTGCCTCATCACTAAAGCTGTAAATTCAAAACAGCTCCTCTCCATGGGGAAGCCAGCATGCACTGAGCATGGACCAGGTGTTCTCAAGGTCTCAGCACGACACGAGTCTGAACAGCCCGAGCAAGATGAGCACATCACAACCTTGGGTGAGCTCCAGCATTATAGCACGTATACCATGTGCTTCAGCTCTAAAGCGATGAATAGAGGATGTGGTTGGGGAAGTTAGAACCAGGTGTTCTCAAGGTCTCTGCACGACACGAGTCTGAACAGCCCGAGCAAGATGAGCACATCACAACCTTGGGTGAGCTCCAGCAATGTCCAGCATTATAGCACGTATACCATGTGCTTCAGCTCTAAAGCGATGAATAGAGGATGTGGTTGGGGAAGTTAGGGTTGAATCAACATCTAGCACTGATTGGTTGGGAACATTACCTTCAAAAGTGCTGCAGTGTTCTGTATCAGCAGGAAATCATCATCACGTGCTTTCAGATGGAGCAGAATTTACTACACAGAGCCGTAGTTCACTGACAAGCTACGCAAAAAGTTTTCTGCGAGGAGTATTTGGAGTTTCAGCACGAGAGGCCCTCTGGCCTCCGGATGGAGATTTACTGCTGATCACAGAACCGTGCTTCACTGAAAGATACTCATGACAATCGCAGCTTCTGTCGAATCGCGACCTCGATTCCATTTCGATTGATCGTGCAGCTCTAACTACATATAACATCAACAACAGTATTGCACACTTTTTAAAACTACAATACCCATCATACTCAGACATACAACTCCTATACAGGTGCGGTCACATTAGCAAAATTTCAGCAACATTTTGTAGGGAAAAAAGTTAATTGTCAATAGCATTGAGATGCATAACCAACTTGAACACAAACAAAATCTGTGTGATGAAATTTTTCGCCCCACACAAAACTCCCAATTGTGGGGATTCGTATTCGTTTTTCATCCACAAAAGTTTGCTGAGCAACAGTAAATGTGACCATAGTTGTGCAATGTTTTTTTTTTCATTTTTTTTTTTAAATGCACATGGGAGATGGGGTTTGTGTTTGTCAGTAAATAAATGAAATAGAAAAGTAATGCAAATACATGTTGCAGTTTATTGTGAATGATTCATCCATGTATGGTCTGGTGATGTATGCCAGACTTCTCCAATCATTTAGTCCACTCAAATTCTCGTCATTCATATTCATTTTTTTAGTGAAACGCCATTGTTGACGGCAGCATTGAATCTTCGCCACTCAGTCCGTCAGCTAAAATGAAACTGATACTAAAACCACCAGCAGGTGGCTGCAAATCATTGAATCATTTAGACAAACGATTCATTCAAAGCGGCTGATTCATTTAGGTACAAAGCAAGTGGCTGAGTGAGTCGTCAAGTCAATCCATAGACCGATTCGTTCCAAAACGTGGATTCATTCAGTAACGAAACTGGAAATGTTGTTCAGAGTGCGCAGTGGCTCTACTATTTTGAACTATTTTTGTTGGCAAACTTTTGCACTCTTGCTCGTGTGGTATTGCTTATGAATATTTATAAGCATATTTTGCATTTTTTCATTCATTTTGATGGCATTTGTTGCCTCAAAGGATGCAACTAATTCCCCACCCTACATACTCTCTTTCTCTATTCACTCAGAATACTCGTCACAATACTGGAAGAAAAACAAATACGGTACTTCCATTTTCATTTAATCTCACAATTTAACAAGTAATGAAAGTATGCACATAACACATGTTAATCGTAATGCTACGCCAACAATTGTGCCAATCCCCACAACTAAACGCTGATTAAAATGAATGCAGAAGTCCTCACGCTCCTATTCCTAATTAATTAATCAAATTCAGCTCAAAACACAGGCCACAACCTAACATGTCATTATGGCCTAGTAATTGTCCATCATACACATTCTGCAGGACAAAAGAGTGCTGGAGTGGTGGAGCATGAATCCAGGGGGACTAAAACTAACCCTTAAGTGCTCCTGAAACATGACCTGGAAACACTTGTCATTTTTATTGTTCATTACGAAACAGCATGCAACGTACTACGCCAATTAATCCCATTACGCTAATCCACCTCAAAACAACTTATTGTGAAGATAAGAGTGTGGATAATTTATGCGGGATTCAAATGAGCACCAAATCAGAATAATTAATGGAGGCCGCGGCTTAATTAGCCTGGCATTGGAAAATGCTTACTGCGTCCTCAACCAAACAGATGCACGCCCGCTATTTCAAAGAGCCCAGAGGGGCAGGAGAGCAGGAAAACACCTTTTCATGATAGCAGCCCCCAAAAGTGTGTTATCTGTGCATGTCTCATCCCTCTGGAGGAGCCGAGGAAATGTTAATCCTCCGTATGGATTTATTTTAGAAATTAACCGATTCCGCATTTGCTTCAACCTTTTTTTTAGGGTGAAGTTGGTTGGTGAAATTTTGCAAATCAGTCACAGTTGGGGTGACATTTCACTAGGCAAGAAAGCTGTTTACAGGAACATAAAAGCGACTCATTTGCTGCCTTGCACATTAATGTATTTATTTCAGAAATGTTACAATCCAGCAATTACCAATGATGAATATAAGCAGGAAACCTATGCACTGATGAATAAAACATTCCCTTATTACCTCCATCAAAACTGCATCTGGCATCAACAAACCATAGCAAGAGTGTGGGTCAAGGTAAAAATAAAATAAAATCAAGTCAAGTCAAGTCAGGTAAAGTAAAGTAAAGTAAAGTAAAGTAAAGTAAAGTAAAGTAAAGTAAAGTAAAGTAAAGTAAAGTAAAGTAAAGTAAAGTAAAGTAAAGTAAAATTAAATTAAATTAAATTAAATAAAAATAAAAAATTAATAAATAAAATAAAATAAAAAAATATCAAGGCAAGGTCTTCCTATTAGTAGCCCACCAGGGACTCCCAAATACTCAATACATTATGTTAACTCTAGCTGAATAAAGTGATTTGAGCACATAAGACCGTTCACCCTACCTGAACATGTCGCCCAGGCCCTTCAGCACGCCTTTCTTGGCTTTGCTCTTGTCTTTCTTGTCCTGCCCTCCTCGCTCCTTCTTCTTGTCATCTTTGGTGCGTCCTCCATTCAGCTGTTTCTCTGTGTTGGAGGGTGGGAGGGACAGATCTGTGGCTGTGGAAATGGAGTCGCGGCCTGATTGGGAACTCTCCTCTGTATCTTCTTCCACTGAGATGGAGGAGAAAACAAGAGAGATAGATAAGTCAAGTCAAGTCAAGTCAAGTCTGCTTTATTGTCAATTCTTCCACATGTACAGCACATACACACAGAGAATTGAAATTGCATTACTCTCAACCCTTGGTGCATACAGATAACACTAACAGTAGAACATAAATACAGATAGATACAGATTTAAATATAAAATACAACTATACAATTATACAAATAAGGTAAAATGTAAATAAAATATATAAAGCAGCACAAGGCGCATGGCAGATAGAGTGCAAACCAGTGAAGTGAAGTAAACAACAGTGCAGATATAATGATTGTAGTGCAAAAGAGCTTATAAACATGAACGCTGAAGTCAGACTATGTGTTAGTCACTGCAAGCTCTTAAGATAGAGCAACACTTAGTCACACAGGGTTAGGTTTGCCAAATAAAACATTTCCACCAAAACCAAAACACTAGCATCCACTAAAAACACACTATCAACCACCCGCAATCACATAGCAATGCCCTGGCTATTTGCTGGTTAAATAAAATAATAATAATGACGATAATGATGATGATAATGATAATAATAATAATAATAATAACTATTATTATTATTATTAAGGTGGTTACTTTGTCAGGCAAGTATCACTAACATTTTCTATAAAAAAAATAAAAATAAATAAATAAATAAATAAAATAGAATTATTAAATTTAATTTAATTTAATTTAATTTAAAAAATCTAGTAATTTGTACAATGGTAGCTCAACTGATAACACATTTTCTTCGAGAAGGAATTCAGGCTAATGTAGTGTATAAAAGCAGAAACCCTCACCGTTCTGACTTCTATAAACATCGTCTTAATGAAACATCTTAATGAGACCTTGTCTTCAAGTCCAACCATATCTAACAGAGGCTCGTGAAGTCCTCATCTTGCCTGAATCTCTTTTCATTTTTCCTTGGCGAGTTTTTCCTCAGAGGTTAATCAATCTGAAGGAACCCCATTATCTTTTTGCTCACCACAGTTCGGCTGTCTCAAATTCGGTTACCGAGGAGCAGTGCAGGAAGCCTATTAGCGTTATTCCTCACTGACCCAATAAAACTAACAGAGAAAGTGAACTTCAAAGTTCAAAAGGCTAAAGTGCACCAGAAGAGGCCTGTCTTCTGTTCACCTCACCGCTCTGAATGAAGTATCTGCAGTACCACAAAAAAATTTTTTGACCAACGATTACTGTATAAGCATTTCTCCTGCTGAAGCGAGGTCTAGACATCATGCATTCAGAATATAGAAACTCTGGAGTTCGACTGTATGCTTTGGTTGTGTGGAAAAGAGTAGCCTGAATGTGACATTTTTTTGACCAACGATTACTGTATAAGCATTTCTCCTGCTGAAGCGAGGTCTAGACATCATGCATTGAGAATATAGAAACTCTGGAGTTCGACTGTATGCTTTGGTTGTGTGGAAAAGAGTAGCCTGAATGTGAAGTGTTGCAGGTGATGCATTACAAGTAACGTACGTAAATTATGTAATCAGATTACTTTTTTTAATCCCAGTTTATTAACCAATTTATTTGCCGCTGACCTTTGATGATTCAATTCAGCCATAATAATAAGCAAAAATTACCTTAACCATAACATTTGCATTTCAATTGTTTTGTTTTTTTATTGCTGAAGAGTGCTGAACTTTCTTCTCCTGCGTCCTGTTCTTCATGTAATCCAGAATAGCAGCACAGCTGAAAGGTTTGTATGAGCTGCGCCCTCTACTGTACAGATCTGAATTTACATTCCCTTCAGCCTGAGGCGCATTCATTTCACTTTTGGTGTGAAAGGGCTCTTGCATTTGCCAAAAATATAACTTTTTTATATTAAGAACAAACAAGCAAGCCCAGGCCAGATGAGAAAAAGTAACGCGAAAGTAATGTAACACATTACTTTCCATAAAAAGTAACTTCGTAACACAATTAGTTGCTTTTTTAGGGAGTAACGCAATATTGCAAATCATTACTTTTAAAAGTTACTTTCCCCAACACTGCTGAATGTGTACCCCGTTTTGTGTTTGCGATCATTCCAGAAAGAATTGCTTTGCTAACAGGGTTTTTTTTATCACGTCACCACACAAAATATTTACTTTTCATCTCTTCCGAGAGCACTCTTAACATCTGATAGCTTTTGAATTTTGTAACGCTGATTTTATGGATTCCAGTCAATGGGATGATATATTTCATTAATGATATATTAATGCAAGTACTTTGATGCAGTTTTGGAAAAGCGAGCGACTGTCAGTGGGAACATTTTATTTTCAAGTATCGTTAGCAATGCTAATTCATCCTCCACCACCTATCTTCGTGATATGCCGCATATCAGTATAATCATAAGGGACCGCAGCTGGCTGATATTGCTCATTTCCATTTCAGCAAGCGTCTGATTACAGCTACTGTCTCCATTCCTGATGGTCTGGACGTGATTAATTCGTCACTAATTTTAAGTTTAAAAACACTCAGAAAGGAGGAAAAAATTAGAAGGCACTAAAAGCGAAGTGCTTTTGAATAGAGCCACGTAATGGCGGAGATGTGGCACTGGAGACAGATGCCTGTGTGATTACAGCTTATTAATAACCAACAAATCTCTGACGTGAGTGAGCACTCTGACGGCTGGAAGAAAGGCCTCACGGATATTTCGCCCGTGCTCAGATGAGTGGTTTAATGCTAGTGAGGAGAAGAGGGTGGGTACTCGCTTCTATTGTTTTATTCACTTGTGCAATTCGCTATCAGTGTGTTCTGTCATTCTGCCATCTACTGAAACAATATCCAAATGGATCAGCATAAGACAAGGAGAGTGTGTGAAATCAGTGCATTAAACAATTATGGAATTCTTTTTTTGCCTTTTTTAAAAATAAATCCAAACCTTTCTGAGCTCAGGAGATGATAATAATGCTAACAAGGTTTAGTTGGATATCATTTATCTCTCTTTTTTTATTTTTTATTTTTCTAACCGGGTGCTTATCGGATGGCTGAGAGCAAGGCTCTCCAAGCTCATTTCTACACCTTCTAATGCTGTCTCAGAGAGCGCGTCTGATGGAAAGGATTTTGGACAGTCTGAGCATCGACAAAAGTTCAAAAATTTCAATCTGGCCTTGAGAGAGATGAAATTTAAAATAATAATCAGTGTTGGGGAAAACATAATCAGATTACTTTTTCAAGTAACTAGTAAAGTAATACGTTACTTTTAAATTTACAAGAAAATATCTGAGTTACTTTTTCAAGTAAGTAACACCAGTTATTGTTACTAGTAAGCAACGCAATTAGTTATTTTATAGATAAACAATGTTTATAGTACATTTTAGACACACTAGCTTTAAAAACTTTAGGTTCTTTAAGTCATGTCAGAAAGATTGAATTTACGAGTTAAACGCACATGATGGCCACCGCAAAGTCATAATTACGAGTGGAAATTTCTTTGAACCCACAACTTTCTGAGATGTCAATGTTAATAAAACATTACTAACTATTAATAAGCAGCAACTTAGGAGTTTACTGAGGCAAAAGTCATAGTCATAGTTAGTTAATAGTGAGAATTGGACCTTAAAATATAGTGTGACCAACTAATCGATTTACAGAACCTTCATAAACTGCATAAAAACAAAAAAGCAAAAACACACTGATGTAGAAAGTTAAAGAGAGGTAGTTGACATGCAATTGCTAAGTTACTTATAGTTAGTAGAATGTCTAAAGTGGACTAGCGAGATAAAGTGTATCCAATAACACAGGGAAGAATGCATTGGACAGGGCTCTTCTCATTTATAAACATCCCAATTAACTTGAAAAAGAAGATTCATGCCTATAGAGTCGCAGTCAATACAGCAGCGACTTCACAGATCAATGGTGTTTTCATTAAAACGGTTATCACAGTAAGTTACGGTTCTGCTAATTGTTGACTGAAATGTAAAAAGAAATGAATTACGGTAATTAACGGCAAATTTCAGCTACACAGGACTGAGTGGTAAATGTTTTGACACCGCAATCAAAAGGCATCATTAGTCGCCTCCTTTTGACGTGCCACGTATTCATTTCTTCTTTAGAACGCCGATCACTTCTAATGGAGTCTTGAAATTGCCACTCTGGATTTTTCCCGGTGAGAAAAAGAGCCGGGCGCATTTAAGTCTGATATTTAAAAAAAACATAAAATACAATGAAACACAGCCCAACTCATTTTCCCTGCTGGATATCTCCCAGTGACACATTTTTCCTCGGGTGATGCCAAATTCACATGCTATGTAAATAAAAGTGTGTGGAAAGAAAAAGCCTGCCCTTATCTGTTAACTTTTGACTATTAACCTCGGTGACAGGCTCAGGCAGGTTCCTCTTATCTAAATTGAAAAACAGAGTTATTTGAATATTGGATGGCGAGAAATGCAATATGTTTCTACGGCGGGATCTCACGCATTTGCCCTCTATTGCTCCGCCGAAGTGATAAGACAGTATTCAGCTCAATGTGGACACAGCTTACAAGAACAAAGTGATTGAGGCAAATAATTTTACTCTTTTGAAAAAAAGAAATTCTGCTTGCTTTTAATGGAATCTTTTAATGGAGAACAAAGGGATGGCGTGGATTTTCCCCCTGGCAAGTGTTATTAGCTAGACAGGTCTGTCGGACAGACTTCATAAACTCATCCTAACACAACTCTGGGTTCGAACTGTTTACTATGTGAGTATCTGTTAAACTGTAATGTATTTCTGTGATGTGCAGCTGTATTTTCAGCATCATTACTCCAGTCTTCAGTGTCACATGATCTTCAGAAATCAGTATAATATGCTGTTATGCAGTCTAATATTAATGTTAAAACATTTTTTAAAACGTTCTTATATTTCAGGATTCTTTGATGAATAGAAAGGTTCAGAAGAACAGCATTTATTTGAAAATCTTTTGTAATGTTATAAATGTTTTACTGTCAACTTCTGATCAATTTAATGAATATTTTCTGAATAAAACCATTAATTTCCATTAAACACACACACACACTTGAATGGTAGTTTCTACATAAAAATGAAGTAACGAGTATTTTCAGCATTGCTAATAATCAGAAATGTTTCTCGAGCAGCAGATCAGCATATTATACTGATTTCTGAAGATCATGTGACACTGAAGACTGGAGGAATGATGCTGAAAATACAGCTGTGCATCACAGAAATACATTACACTTTAACACAGATTCACATAGAACACAGTTATTTTAAATTGCAATAATATTAAAAAAAAAATATTACTGTTTTTACTGTATTTCAGAGCACATAAATTCAGCCTTGATGAGCAGAAGCGGCTTCAATAAAAAACATTTAAAAATCATAATGTTTACAACCTTTGACAATGTATACATATATATATATATATATATATATATATATATATATATATATATATATAATTAATTTGATTCCTTACTTATTATGCCACAAAAAAAACACCTTCAGTGCAGGAAACTGTGGCACTGAAACATTTTAAAATGGGTCAATAAATTAAACAATCTAAAATATGAAAAGAATACAAATTGCAGCTGCAAGCAATCAATGAACCATAAAAATGAACCCAAACGCATTTAGTAAATCTCTGAGTCTGCAAGCATTGAGAAATATCCCTTTAAAACCCAGGTCCCATTAGAGAAAAATGCCCAGCGAGGACGTCTGGAAATTCATTTGGTCATGGACGAAATGAATAGTGAAAGTTATACACATGCTCATTGGCTGTTTATTTCCTTTCTGGGCTTTGAGGGAAGGCCTGACCTACTTACAGCAGGAGGATCTCTTCTGCTAGTCTAATCTTCAGAACAGCACAAGACGTCCTCGTGAGACCCGCTGCCTTGTTTCTCTACTGAGAGCCGTCTATAAAGTGAACCTCATTTGGCGGGCGACTCATAATATTCTGGGCCAGTCATTGTGTGAGACAACTGATGAAATTGGCATTGATATTGTGTCAGATCGCCTTTACTGTGCCTGTGCAATTATGGTAATAGCTGTGATTACATGAGTTGCCATTTTCAATATAAAGAGAAAACAGGAGGTTAAGAAAGTAGATGATGATGCACTGGCTGGACTAAATAATGATCAAACTAGACTGCTAATGTTTACAAACATGATGCGCCATTTATGTGCTGTTTTCTGGACTACGAGTAACACAATGCTTTTAGTCGTAATCTGTGTGTGTGTTTAATGCATACGTTAACCTTCCTTCACGTCAAAAGTAGGCTAGGTTGTAACTCAAGCACACTGGTGCAACCGGCCCCTAGCTCATTTTGAGATATATATAAAAAAAGACTCACAGGTCAGTGAATGATTCTCATTCAAACTGGTAATGCAAAAGTGAATTTGAAGATGTATCATGAATTATTTTGACTGACTCATTAAAAGAAAGAAAAAAGATTAATAATTTGACAAATCAGCTCTCGCCATGTTTGTCGTTGCACACAGGAATCACTGGCGCACGCTCTAATGAGACCGAGATTATGTTGCCATGCAGCTTTTAGTGGTTGCTAGGGTGTTACCAGAGTATTTTCAGTGGTTGCTAGAGTAATCTGAGCGGTTTCTTACTGGGCCAAGTAAAGATCATTGCTGCATCCCAGTTCGCCTACTTTTATAATAATATTCTAAAAGTATGTACTCTTTTTGCGAAGAAAAAGTACAGACTTTTGAGTGTGTAGCAGAATAGTGGGCAGCCTGGCAATCTTCTTGTCACAATTAAAATCCTCCACATTTGAGTTAATTTAATTTTATACCATATAGGAGAGAAATGAAGAGGCACGTTGATCTGCCAGTCACGTGTCTTTCATGCTGAGAACTCTCCTCATGTGTTTGCAAAATTATGCATTTAAAAGTGAATGACCAAATGTATTGCAATGCTGCTGCAGATGAAATATAATGTGGGTAACATTATTATTATTTTTTCAGATTAGATATTGTTGCAAATACTTTATCTAAGGGTATGTTTACACGACAACGATGTACTAAAAACGGAAACGTTTTTGAAAAGTTTTGCATACAGGCGACAATGTTGATCTGCGAAAACGACAAAAAAAAACTGTATTATGCGTGCCAGGCCAGTAGATGGCGATGTCACTTTGTAAAGATAATCTACGTGTCTGTGCACATTCCTACCGACTAAACACGTAATGCGCATCAAGTCACCACTTTCACAAATTCACATTTTTGTAGTTTACACAGAGACGAAAATGGCATTGTTTTCAAAAACGTGCACTATGAAACCCGTTTTCAAAAGTTTGCGTTTTCCGGCCCCCAAAACGCCATTGTTGTGCAAATGAATGCATAAAACGTTTAACATTTTTAGGTGAAAATAGTGTCGTTTAACGGACCCTAAACCTTTGTACTTATCCGCTGGTCTCGCATATCTGCCATGTTTGTGGTTTTTTAACACTTTTTATCAGTGTTCTTAGTTTTAAACAAATCTGCTTCCATTGCGCAATGGGTTGTGGACAATAATACTTCGAGCTTTCAATAGTAAACCATCCGGCATATTCATTTCAACATACGATTCAAATTTTTCGCCCCAATACTTACGTGTGTCCATGCCCTCGTCATCTTCATCGGGGTTAACCACGGTCACACCAGGCTTGTCGTAAGACTTGTCGATGGCCGCCCTGAAGCTCTCGTTGCAGCCGCGCCCCCTGATGATTCTGGGGCGTGGCCTGTGGAACGAGACGTCTCCGTTGTGCGTCGCCTCGGCAACAGCCGTCTGGAGGCTCTCCAAGGAACTCGACTTCTTCAAACCCAACGACGGTCCCACATCTCGCGTGGAGTTGCCTTGTGGTGGATAAAGAGAGAGAGTAAAAAAACATGCCAGAAAGCGAAGAAAAAAGATGCTGTCTTTCGTTTTTCCTCAATAAATCCTTCTCTCCTAATTCACTTCTAGAATTCACATCCCTCACTGAAGACAAATGTGCATATCGGGGTTGTGTTTATCTGCAGATGGAAGGTGAAAACAGTGTGCTAAAATAATATGGAATATAAATGGCTCCACTGGATGCAAAGTGAGGTGTCAGAAAGATTATCCGTCTTGCATCCATCACATTTTTAACTCTTGAGGTCATTGTTGCCTCTTTTTCCCCAATGTGTATGTGTAAGTGTGCGAGGGAAAGAGCGCATAACTACTTTCTGTAGTTTAAGGCACTGATGGATGGCCCATATATGAGGCCCATGGAGTTGCCTTGTGGTGGATAAAGAGAGAGAGTAAAAAAAACATGCCAGAAAGCGAAGAAAAAAGATGCTGTCTTTCGTTTTTCCTCAATAAATCCTTCTCTCCTAATTCACTTCTAGAATTCACATCCCTCACTGAAGACAAATGTGCATATCGGGGTTGTGTTTATCTGCAGATGGAAGGTGAAAACAGTGTGCTAAAATAATATGGAATATAAATGGCTCCACTGGATGCAAAGTGAGGTGTCAGAAAGATTATCCGTCTTGCATCCATCACATTTTTAACTCTTGAGGTCATTGTTGCCTCTTTTTCCCCAATGTGTATGTGTAAGTGTGCGAGGGAAAGAGCGCATAACTACTTTCTGTAGTTTAAGGCACTGATGGATGGCCCATATATGAGGCCCATTATCTTCCCTGTGTGGTCGTGGGAGGAGGTGGAGGAGAGAATGTGGAGAACAAGAGGGAGGAAGAGCAAAAGCTTGTAGACTGAACACGCTTTGAGACTCGGTCTGTTCACATCAAGCAGCGAGTCCTAGCAGAAACTCCCTCAACTCATCTGCTTAATGACCTTTTTGTGCATTTAATCCACTTGTTTCTCATTAAGGGTTCCTTACAAAGACACAGTAGGCCCACACTTCAAACACGCGCCAGCACGGAGACAACATTAATCCTGCTTATGAAATCCTGTAGAAAAGACCTCAATGGAAGCCGATGGGCCTGGCTGCGCGGGTCAGGGATTTGACTGCTAAATGAATGCTAAACGAGAGTAAAAAGTGGAGAGTAAAACAATAGTCTCCTTTCCTTTGAACTGGAATATAATGTGGTTTAAACTGAACTGTATGTATGTATGTATATATATATATATATATATATATATATTCTTTCTGTGTATTTATTAAAAAATTTATTTAGTTTCCTTTTTTCTTCCTTTCTTTATTTCATTGCAATCTTTTATTTTAAAAGGACAATTTGGTCTAAAAAGAACTAAAATTTATCATTAAACACAAAGTCTTTTAACCTATTTTGTAATGCAATACAATTATCTAATCTTATTACGATGCTACACATAAACACTTGCACTGATTGAAAACAATACAAGAAAAAAAAAAGAATAATAATCCACACACACACATCACAAATGTTTGGAATAATTACGTTGTTTTTTTTTTTATGTTTTTGAAAGAAGTCTCACCAAGGCTGCATTTCTTTGATCAAAAATGCAGTAAATTCACCAATATTGTGATATATTATTAAAATTTAAAACAGCTGTTTTCTATGTGTATATATTGTAAAATGTAATTTATTTCTGTGATCAAAGCTGTATTTTCAGCATCATTACCCCAGTCTTCAGTGTCACATGATCTTCAGAAATCAGTATAATATGCTGATCTGCTGCTCGAGAAACATTTCTGATTATTATCAATGTTGAAAACTGTTTTTTGCTGATTCATATTTTTGTGGAAACTGTGGTATTTTTTCCCCAAGATTTTTTTGCTGATTAAAAAGTACAATGAACAGCATTTATAATCAATCAACCAATCCATCCATCCATCTATCTATCTATCGTACTGACCCCAAAGTTTTAAACTGTAATTTTAAAAATACAATTTTATGGCTGATGTAATATTCAGTAAAATACTAAATATTGCCAATGAAATATTTATGGCCAGTAAACATTCTCAATTCATGTTCAGCTGGCTCATGCAGTACAAAGCTAATTCTGGACCCTGTGTATGTGTGAATCCGTCGTGTGTGTGTGCTATCATGTGAGCCATATGGAACAGACTCTGAAACAGTTGCCAACGACTAAAAATTATCTAAGCCACCTGCATGATTGGATAAAATATTCTGTGTATCTCTAACAATAAACCTTGATAAATGCCAGCATGCACGACTGCTTTAAACACATGCATGCACGATAGTTTCAGCGATGTATGATACCGCTGCACAGCACATACAATCTCTCAGATGAACTCTAGATGATGCATTAATGTGAGTCCAGCTGTGTTGAAATGTACAGCGCAAAGGGTCGGCGCACGCACGCTCAAACACAATTAGCATGCAAATGATATATATAAACAAACATTAACCGACAGCAACGCTACAGTTCTTGAGAGCGTAGTCTGTTTGCTGGTGTAGCGTAAACGTGCCGTTTCTCACTCGAAGACCTTCACGTCAGATATTGATGGAAAATGTCTCGGCAGCGATGCTGAAAATACAGCCCTCAAACTCTAGTGTTTAACTGGCCTCTCACTTGGACAGCTATAATTATTTTTCCAATGGCTGCTGTTCAGTGTTTAGATTTGGCTAGTGAGGCGAGACTCGGGCACTGGCTGCTCATGCTGTCAGTGAACTCCTGTTTAAGGGCCTCAAGAACAGTGACCCCGAACCGAAGGTCAGCAGTCAGATTGGTTTGAAAATATGGATCAATGACATATAAGAGTGCCCACAAAACAGAAAAGGAGGAAAAAAAATTTTTTGGCGGATGTAATATTCAGTAAAATACTAAATATTGCCAATGAAATATTTATGGCCAGTAAACATTCTCAATTCATGTTCAGCTGGCTCATGCAGTACAAAGCTAATTCTGGACCCTGTGTATGTGTGAATCCGTCGTGTGTGTGTGCTATCATGTGAGCCATATGGAACAGACTCTGAAACAGTTGCCAACGACTAAAAATTATCTAAGCCACCTGCATGATTGGATAAAATATTCTGTGTATCTCTAACAATAAACCTTGATAAATGCCAGCATGCACGACTGCTTTAAACACATGCATGCACGATAGTTTCAGCGATGTATGATACCGCTGCACAGCACATACAATCTCTCAGATGAACTCTAGATGATGCATTAATGTGAGTCTAGCTGTGTTGAAATGTACAGCGCAAAGGGTCGGCACACGCAGGCTCAAACACAATTAGCATGCAAATGATATATATAAACAAACATTAACCGACAGCAACGCTACAGTTCTTGAGAGCGTAGTCTGTTTGCTGGTGTAGCGTAAACGTGCCGTTTCTCACTCGAAGACCTTCACGTCAGATATTGATGGAAAATGTCTCGGCTGCGATGCTGAAAATACAGCCCTCAAACTCTAGTGTTTAACTGGCCTCTCACTTGGACAGCTATAATTATTTTTCCAATGGCTGCTGTTCAGTGTTTAGATTTGGCTAGTGAGGCGAGACTCGGGCACTGGCTGCTCATGCTGTCAGTGAACTCCTGTTTAAGGGCCTCAAGAACAGTGACCCCGAACCGAAGGTCAGCAGTCAGATTGGTTTGAAAATATGGATCAATGACATATAAGAGTGCCCACAAAACAGAAAAGGAGGAAAAAAAATTTTTTTTAAATGATTTGATACAAATACATTATCATTATTATTAAAATACATACATTTAAATGCATGTTGGTTTCATATGGTTTTGAAAAATAAATTTTTCATAGAAATAATAATAACAATTATAATAATTTAATGCTTCTAAAAATGTCATGGGGTATAACCATAATGTTATATATATATATATATAGCAATTTTTCCTAAATATATGAGGTTTATGTAACATAATTGATGTTGATTATTGAGTGTGTGTACATTTTTTTTACATTTTATTTTATTTGCATATTTTATATTATATAACATTTATATTATATTTCATATGCATATTTTATTTATTTTATATTTATAACAAAATACTATGGTAAATTCAAATAAAATAGTCAAATACTGTATTTTTTATTTATTATGATATCACAACAGTTTTCTCACTCTCAAAACAAATTCAAATTCTGAAGATAAAAATAGCTCACTGCATGCGTATATATGACCCTGCACCACAAAACCAGTTTTACGTGTCAATTTTTTTTAAATTGACATTTGTACATCATCTGAAAGATACGGTGGCTGAGAAGTGCAAAGCAAATCACAATTCTGAAAACAAAATAACAAATTACAAACGCAAATGCAAGTCTAAAAAACAAAATAATTCAGAAAGCACAACAACAATTCAGAAAACATTATAACAGGTCAGAAAACACAACGACAAATCAGACAAACCGGAAGAGGTAGGTATAGTTTGAGACAGCGCCATTGGTTTGGGATTACTCAATTTAAATTATAATTTACACTCAATGCGTTATTATTCCATACTGTTTTATAATGTACTACAATACTGAAGTGCAAATCGAACCCGGGTCGATCACGTCAAAAGGCCAACGACAAGCGCTTATCCATCTGCGCCACTGCAGCTGATGTTTTTTGGCCACGTTTAACTAAATGTAAATATACACTCCGTATTTTTTATTCCATAGTAAGGGCAATTCATACAATACATTTAAACTGAGCTACTTTAATACCATCTCCGAACTTTCTACCAGGACTCTGCTGTTCTTCGGCTGGTTCTTCTCTGTATACGGTGATTGACAGATGTCTCGTCCAGTCAGCTGTGAGTAATCCCAAACCAATGGCGCTGTCTCAAACTATACCTACCTCTTCCGGTTTGTCTGATTTGTCGTTGTGCTTTCTGACTTGTTATTTTGTTTTTGAATTTGTCATTGTGTTTTCTGACTTGTTATAATGTTTTCTGAACTGTTATTTAGTTTTTTAGA